CTCCTTGCCCCCGATGGTACTTGGTGCCTGGACCAGGGACCTCAGCGGTGCCCACCCCTCCTCTGTGGGTTGCTGGGGGAGCTGGTGCCACGGGGGCTGGAGGGCTCGGGGACACCCAGATCTGCTTTACTTCCCCCAGCCTCCAAGCTCGCTGCATCTACAACGCCAGCGACCTCCTGCCGCTCCGCATGGAGGTGGCCGTGCCCCCCACTGCCATCCCCTTGGCCATGCCAGGGCCGCTCTTTTTTCACTGGTGAGCAGCCCATCTGCACCACTCCCCCCGGCCAACTCAACCATCCGCTCAACCTCTCACCCTTCCTGCAGACGAGAGCTACAGCTCCTACCACCCCGACGGTGACTACCCCTTGGTGAGGGTCCTCCGGGACCCCATCTACGTGGAGGTTCGACTCCTGCAGAAGACGGATCCCAACCTGGTGCTGGTCCTGCACCACTGCTGGGCATCCCCCAGCACTGACAGCACAGCCGAGCCCCAGTGGCCCATCCTGGTGGATGGGTGAGCAGGAGAGAGGGATACAGGAGGATGGAGCGGAGGTGGAGGGCTCACCTGCACTAAGGGAAGGTCCCTCTTGCATGCCCAGGTGCCCCTTCACAGGGGACAACTACAGGACGCAGCTCGTGCCCGTGGGACCGGCCTCGCCGCAGCTCCCCTTCCCCAGCCACTACCAGCGCTTCGTCATCTCCACCTTCACCTTCGTGGAGCCCCCCTCCATGGCAGTGCTGGAGGGAGAGGTGAGGGGGGGCAGGCCCCCAGGGGGCTGGTCATGGCCTCCAGAGGCACCCCCATCCCAGCACCTCCCAAAACCCCACCCCACCACCTTTCTGGAGCAAACCTCACAGTGCAGAGGGTGCGTCACAGCGTGGCTGCTCTGCTCCTTGGCCGCAGTCCTGCAATGTCAGCAGGGGGCCCATGCTGCTTTTGGGGGGGAGTTGGGGGGGGCAGTTTCCTTGGGGCTTTGGAAGCACCTTCTCTGGTGCTCCCAGCACCATCAGCCACTAACGCTGGCCCACCCGTGGCTTCCAGGTGTACATCTCATGCAGCGCTTCTGTGTGCCACCTCGCGCAGCCCGAGCCCTGCCGGCCCTCCTGCCACCTGGGAGTGCCCTCACGTAAGTCTGAGTGCCACCAGCTCCCACCTGCTTCCTCAGCAGCTGCCCTGCCCCAGGCTTTCCACACCAACCCCCTGCCCTTCGCCAGGAGCACGTAGGTCTCTGGAGGACAGGACAGGTGAAGCCATAGATACGGTCACCTCCCAGGGATGCATTGTTTTCTCGAAGGTCCCCAAGCCGCGGAGAGGCTGAGGCTGAAGGCGCTGGGTGAGCACCCCTCCACTCCCTAACTGCTCCTTCATCCCAGCTCCAACTCACTCTCTTCCTTCTCTTCCTCCTGTGCAGCTGCTGCTTCCAGCCAGACATCACCCGACATCTCCAGGCAAGCTGGAAAAATAAAACCAGTGCATAGTAGGG